AGCAGGAACACGATAGAGCTATAATTATGTCAGCAGAGGGAGCTCTTTGACTGCATACGTCCATTTTTATTATTTCTGTTTCATGTTTGCTCTACAAACTCAGGTTACATACCCACATTTTATAACAGTATATGTTACGTATTGTGCCCCATATGATGGAGTGTACTGTCAGAAAACTTTCTGATTCTTTTGATTACAATTTAGAGAAATATATGTTGTCAGGTTATTCTTAAGGCATGCATGTCTATGTGGGCTGTATTGACCAAATAACATGGCACACAGGTAACATGCTGTATATGAGCCATTTACTAATTATTCGATAATAATTAGTCACGATAATGGCAGGTTTTTTTTATGAAGTTAGTTTTAACATTTACTAATTGTGTATTATTGGGTATTAATATGTCATATGTCATGTAATCAAAAGTCTATACATTTAATGTATTTTAAATATTGTCATTGTTTCAAAGTCATCAATGTTTATCCAAGACTAGTTTCTTTGATGTGAGTCTCAAAGTCATTGCTGCAGAGATTAGTTCTCTGTTACCCATAATGCCTCAGCCCTCCCTTACCGCAGCAAAGATCTCCTTACAGTCTCAGTGGTTGCCACAGAAACCTGCTTTCTCCTCAGCTATAAGAGACGAGGGGATGAGAATGGGGACAGAAGCGAGGTCTGAGGAACTGAACACCAGTGACGCGCTCAGAGTGCTGTCAGAAACAGCAGGAGACCAGACAAGGATGAGTGTGTTTGTGTGTGTGTTAAGGAAACAAGACTCTTCCTTTGAGTCCTTGAAGAGACAACATATTCTCCATCCCTCGCAACACCAACACTCACTGCCTCAGCTGTGTTCCTTCAGAACACTGAAGTCCTTGTTGTCCTAGCAGCGTCCAGAACACAGTGTCCACCAGTTTCATCAGCGGAGGAAAATAAACATCAATTCTTTCAGAGGCACAAAGTGCTTGTTAATGGATGCTTTACTCTTACTCTACTGTAGCTCTTAGGTAGACAGTGGTGACAGATGCTAATCTCAGGTTTTACATTCACTGCCCAAAGCTGAAGTTTACTACGGATGTTTTCAATGTTTTCATACTTTGGTCAAATTTAGGAGATAACGCCTGTGGCTTTCCTTATTGTTTATTAACATTAACAAAATATCATTGTTTATTCAACTCAATTATTCAATTGTTTATTAACATTAACAAAATATCAATTCAAGCACAATACAACACCAACCCATTTCCTTGTATATCTGCCTTAACATAAACTGTGAACACCAGAGTTTTGTTTTAGCCTGGGTACCCTTGGTATTTGGGTATCTCGTGTGTAGCCCACTGTTTAGGTTCATTTGAAACAACCAAGGAAAGAGACACTGAAAGTGTTACTGTTAAATAGATGACTGCTTTAATAAAAGACATTATAGTCTCACATTCAGTAATGAGCTGGTAATGAGTAATATTGCTAACTGCTTACAGTACAAAAACCCAGCCCTGTCAGTGTGGTCTAACATACAGACCCACAAGTCAGTCTGATGCTGTTCTTCTACATTCAAAAGCACTCAGAATGGTTAAAATAAACTATGTTTACACTATCCACAGTAGAAGCACCAGGTAAGAGACATTAAGGAGTGGACAAACAGGAGTAAAGCAGGGTTAAAACCAGGTCTGAAGAATCCAAGAGTGAAAGCAGAGCCATTGATATTTCTGGCCATGCATTGTTTCGCTTGAACAGCTGATAAACTGTGCAGCCATATTTGGGTTTAGAATTAGATTTAGAAAGACTTGAAGAGCCTTTGAACACACCTCTAACACTCAGTCCAAAGAAGCGTCCTGGGAAAATGACTCACCAGATCAAAGCAGCGTCCTGGGAAAATGACTCACCAGATAACATACAAAGATTATATTCAGGAATATACTGTGGGTAAAGGAGATGGGCTTAGATTAGGTTGTAGTAATGCAGTAGATGAGACAATGACATACAGTAGATACTGATCATACATATGGGCACACAGCAGGGCCTATTTGTGCATGTGTGTGCCCCACACAGTAGTGTGCAGAGGTCAGCTGTTCGTGTTTATTTGAATGTCTTGATGGGTGGGGGCACCTTGATGTCCTGACCTCTCTCCAGTCTCTTCTCACATTCGATCAGGTAGTTGACACCATCAACCACTGTCTGAACCAACTGGACCTAAGGGACACAAACAGACTTTGATTCCCACACTCTCTGACTTCGTCAGTGTCTTTCCACAACATCAGGGACATGGAGACAAAAACCCGAGCAGTTAAAGAGAGGGCAACTGGACTGTCCTGCTTTCTTCAAGACCTTTCACCTCTTCAACCAAGAGGCAGAACTGGGAGGTTGGTATTACCTCAGAGACAGACCTCACTGTGTGTCCCACGGAGTTAGTCTATGTTTTGGCTTTCAACACAATGGACAATGAAATAGTGTCAAAAAGACCCCATGACTGTGGTCTGTCTGAACATGCTGTAGGTTGGTTTTCTAACTAATTAGCAGGAAGATCACAATCTGTTCACGTGGCTGGATCTTACTCCTCCATCTTTCATGTGCAAAAAGGTGTAACCTAGGGCTCAATATTGGGACCTCTACCATTCTCACTACATATTAATAATTTGTGTGATGACATCGCAAATACTTCTATGCAGATGATTAGCTGCAGACTGCATTTGATGTAATTCAAACTATGCTACCTTAAATTGGTGTTAAATGCAGAAAAAAAATCCAAATTCATGCTCTTTTCAAATAATAAAGCAACAGTTGATTTATAGATGACTACAGTTCAGTGAGATTAAATAGAACGGGTCTAATCATACACTACCTCAAATTTAGATTTCCCTACCTCAGACTGTCCTAGACGGTCTAGGTTTGAGATGTCAAACACACCACCCACAGCAGCGGTGTCAACTCCACCTGTTCCTCTCTTTTGCAGGCGCAGGTTTTCCAGAATTTTACTGAAGCGAGTGTCCTGCAGCGTGAGGAACAAGACGTGTATTAGTCATTTCAGTGCTTTGTGATAAACATACTTACTCCTTTGTACTAATTTGACATAGTGATCAGTTTTTCATTAATTACTGGTAGAATTGCACTTGTAAACATTCATTTTAGTTAAGTGATATTTGATATATTACAGCAGGGTTACCTTGCTAAGCATTGGCAGTTTGACGTGGACCCCGGCCCTGAGACCTGTGCCCAGGTTGGATGGGCAGGTCAGGATGTAACCCAAGTTCTTGTTCCACATGAACTCCCAGCCTCTCTCCTGAATGAGATGCTCCACCTTACAGGGAATCAAGCACGAAGCAAAGTTTTCTATAAGATTATAGCAGAACGGCGATTTGATGTTATTGATTGATAAATTATTTATATTTTCACTGCCTAATATAGACTACGTATTTTGGTGCAGGGCACTTACTACGGTAAGGAGGTTTTATTTCTGTAAGCACTTTGCTGCAGCTTTTAGGTTGCATTAAACCTCCCCTCCTGATTAAATGCCTCAGACAACTGACAGCAGCAAGATGGAAATGTCCACTACAGGTTGAACATTAAAGAGATTGTGAATGTGTACACAATGGTTCAGTTTTAGGTTCAATTAAACACAACTGATGAAGAGTGTGTGGCACAGGCATATGTAATAGTTACTCATTGATTATACCTGAGTTGCATTTTAGAACATTAGAACATAAAAGGTACAGCATTTTAACATGTAGTCTCATTTGCTCGTCATCCACAGTCAACATAAACAAAGTTCTACCTCTTTGAGACCTCGGCAGAACCTCTCAAACACCCTCTTCATGTTTCCTCCCTTCTCCATGGAAATGACCCTGGTGTGATCCTCCTCATTGACCCAGATCAGGAATGTCTTCTCATTGTTGTGCCTAAAGTGAAGATAATACAGGATTAATGGAGTACTAATCACTAAACTCATCAAAAGACTACGGCAACATTAAGAACATGTTTATTATTGTTTATTAATACTGAAATAGTTTGTGTCTGTATAATGCTTCCAACCGTAGGACAAACAAACAAAAAAAAAAAACTGAAGCCAGAGTAGAGAATGGAAATTAAAAATGACAGAAAGTGGATCGTGATGTGTAGCTGGCAGAGAAGAAAGTGAAGTGGAGAAGCAGAGAAAGAGAAAGCTGTTGCTGGACCTGCAACAGGAGATGATGACGAGACAAAGTAAAGGTGAATTATTGAGGAGTGTAGAGTCTGGATACTGTGACTGGCAGAGAGAGAGAGGGAGGCTGGCGTGCTGCTGACTCACACCTAAAGCTGCGGGAGATCAGACTGTATTACACAATTACAGATCAGCCACAGGGAAATATTCCTGAAGTCATAACAGAGGTGATTAATCAGTGATTTATAAGATGCCTCTTCAGTTTTATCTTATTTAATTTTGTGATTTACCCAAAGTATTTCTTACACTCCAAGGAATTTCACATGGCTCAATATAAGAGACACTGTCTTTTCAACCTTGCTCATGTGACATGCCTAATAATTTACAATGCAATAAAACATGATTGCAGTTGATTTTTACGTAAAAGATATAAAAACAAATATATTTTAATATATATTTTAACAATATTCACTACAACATTAAAGTTGGCGTTAATCTAAACCCTTTTAACAATATTCACTACAACATTAAAATATATGTAAACCTTGCTAATGCTGACAAATTAGACCTCAAACATCTCCTAGAAACATCTAAAGTAGGTTATTGCTATAAAGTTAAGGTCTAAATTCATCTAAAGTGGGTTATTGCTATAAAGTTAAGGTCTAAAGCTGCTTCTACTTTGTATTGAAATACAATTATCTATTGTTTTTTTTAACTTACCAAATACCACGAGCATCTGGCCAATCACGAGCCATGCCTGCACATGTCAGGAGTGGTGACACGGGCTTGTCGAATAGGAAGTGGTCCTATTGCAAAGACAGACAACTTGAATCAACACTCTTAATTTTGGCAGACTTCATTATGCACAACTGGGATATGTGGACTAGTGAGGTTATAGTTCTTCACCATTTTACTTCTTGGTGTAAAAACAGACAGTAATAAAGACCGCAATAAAGCAGAGAGTTACATCCTGCATCTGCAGCACTTACATCAATAAGCTGCTGCTGCTCCTTTTCTGTCATCTGGGTTAGGCTGAAGTACCTCCCAGTCAGGTCGCCCTTCAGTCCAGCGAGGGCGTCCACCACCACCCTCTCCACCTCCCTGCGCTCTGCCCGCGTACATGCAGGGGGAAGACTTAGACCCCTGATACTGCGACCTGTCCTTACTCTTGAGGACAGCACGTAGCGCTCATCAAACTGTCCAGATACAAGCTGCGAGACAGGACATATGACTGAATACCAGACAGGCTCAACTGAAATAAAGTCTGTGATATTAGTGTGAAAAATGTTACTTTGCTGGAATCCAGGTCAGTGGGGTGCTTCATGGTGGCGGGGTCATAGCCATTATGCCTTTCTTTAATGATTGGATCCAATAGGTCTGCAAAGACCTGACACACAGTATACCAGTATTACAACAGGGCAGCTACATTTGTACTGCATATGTTAAAGTGTTCTGTTGCAAATTTCTACACGTTGTGTCACTTCCATTGACTCAAACACCACACCCATATTATTAAGAAAAAGGACAACGCACACAGCTTTCTGAAACTTCTCCAGAAATTCTTGTAACAAATGAAGATGCACTAAATGAGGAATGAAACCCTGATGCATCACTGACTAAGCCCTGACCTCTGCCTAAAACCTATTACAGCAACTTTGTTACTACTCCTACTATTTGGACATTGCAAATTTCAACAAATCAAATAAATATCTATTTATATTAATTAAGAAGTCATAAAAATATACAGTATACAATTTAAAATTAAAAACTAATAAATTACCAAAATAATTTAACATACCATACTTTGGAAAGTCTCTTTTTCTTGTTATATGACTTTCATAGAGAATAACAATGTTGGGTAATTATCTGAAGGTTTCCCAATTGATGCATTGAGTGCATTAAGAAACAACTGTTTATAACCTCAGGATGTTACATCCTGAACTTTTTTTATTATTGTGTGAGTTGTGCTCAAACTCCTTTTTCTTTTTTTACCAGAAACACTTGCAGATGTTAGATTTTTTTGCTTATTACTTTTTTTATTATTGAATTGTGCTCAAACTCTTTTTTCTTTTTTTACCAGAAACACCTGCAGATGTTAGATTTTTTTGCTTATTAAGAAAATGTGACTTGATATCTGACCTCGTAGGACTCCTCATCTCCTGCCACCATGCCCACCGTCTTGATAAAGGGGTGACCTGGGTTGTCCACACCTGTCTGGATGGCCTGGTCCAGTGTGTACCCATTGGGAGTGGCCTTATCACACAGCTTAGAGTAGATGGCAGGAGTCAGGTTACTAGCCATGCAGTTGTTGTGTTTGCGCAGGTCAGGGTACTCCGCACTGGACAAAGACACAGGCAAGATAACACGATGCATAAATCTTTGCGAGAGCGTGGGCTTTGAAACATGTTTACAGAGAGTGACTCACTCAATGACCCACTGACATGGTCAGTACATGTCAGTGGGTCATGATGGCTTGACCTGGGACTCTCAGGTTGCAGAAGAGATTTCCACAAAATTATATTTTCATTAATCAGTACAATTTTTAATGATTTTATTGGACACAACCTGGACAGCTAGTCAGTATTAAATCATTATCATCATTAAAGAACTAGTTTTAACCTTGTTTTTTGCTAACTAGGTCTCCAACTGTCATATTTTGAAGAAAACCCATGAAAACCCAAGAAAACCCACAGGAAACTATTATTGCCAATATTGATTATTGCTAACGATCATAATTATTATCAGCAGACCTCATGTCACCTTTCTTTTGTCCAGACTAGTTATAACACTATGCTTTTAGGTTGTAAAAGCACACTGCAACCCCTTTATTAACATCTTTGTGTTGCATAGCACTTGCAATGACATTTTGAGAAATATAAAACATAGAAATATTATTAAAACCATACACAGTCAACAGGATTACAATCGACTGTTTGACAATTGTCATCAAAATGAAATTGACAGACAGATAGATTTAACCAGGATGTGTTTCCAGCAGTAGTTACAATGTCAGTAAGGTGTGATATGGTTAAACATAACCTCAACCGGCCTGGTTGCCATAGGGACCGTGACTTGTATGCAGCTGCATTGATCTTAGGAAGAGTTTTTTTTTTTTTTTATTGCCACAGAATACACACGTAGCTGTTATGTAATGACCAGAGGGCTGGGCTTTTATGTCTGGGCAGCAGCTAATGATTAACTAATCTATAGTCGGTTGATAATGCACTGCTTTATAATCTACCCAGGCGTGTGGGGGCACACGTACGCATCCATGATCCACCTTACAGTGACAATCCTACAGTTATTTGTTGGCCACTACAGCATATGTTCTCGATACTTTTTCAATAATTTGTTTTTTTAGTAAAACCACAGTACAGCTATATATTATCATTTTTATTAATAGGTCACTGCAGGTTGTGGAAAAAGTGTATTTGTTTCTACAATAGTTCTGCTGATGAAATGATCATGTATGTAGCGTAAACTAATAAAGCAGAGTCCAAAGACAGGGATAAAATAAGAAGAAGAATAGAGAAGAATAAGAAGAAGGAAGTAAAGACGAGAAAAAGCAGAAAGCGCCCACTTGGACTTGGGCAGCTGCTACAGGATGAAGTCACGTTTGTCTAAAGAGGCTTAATTAGAAATAGTCTGGTAGAAGGGCAGCAGCCAAGAAACCACTTTCCAGGACAGGAAAAGGTTGAAAAGGCTAAGATTTGCTAAAGAGGATTATGGAAAGTTTCCTAAAGACATCCAATACTTAGCTCCCAATGCTACAGTCCACATCTGAACCCTTATAGAGGCATCCTGTTATAATATACTGAAGTACAACATAAATGCACTTGATTTTATAAGTAGTTTTATCGCATAAACTTAGTATATTTTTTTTTAAATAAAAATAGATTTTAAATTGGTGAAAAAGTACTTTTTTGTGATTTTTTTTCTTAGAAAAAAAATACATGCTATATACATTTTTAATTTGTTTGCTAAAAAGACAATGCATTTTCAGTGGTTTGTCATTTATTAATTAAATAATTGCGTTAAATATAAATCTACGTTTTTATTGACTATCCATTCATCCATCAATGTTGGGCGGGATTGGAGTTGTAGCCAAATGACTAAACTTTATCTGGTTTTAATCATTATTTTTAATTTAAAGTGAAAACAGATACTTGAAAACGTCGTGATGTGAGGATTTTGTAAGTATAGGTCGAAATTACTTATCATTTCCTGTATCTTATTTCATTCAAACAGTTTCTGTAAATTGCGTTTAGAATTTATAAAAAATATTTATGCATTATTTTCGTAGAAAAAAAGCTACATAAAAAAACCTATTCTAATTAATTTCAAGATTCAAAATAAGACAGTGATTTAGAAATAGGAATATATTTTAATTAGATCTAAGGTTGTTTGTCAAACAACGACCAAAGCTACTGAGTGCCTGATAATCTCCTAATCCTGCTGACGTCTTTATTTTTAATAAGCTATAATATCGTATGTAATCAGGCCAATGGCGGTTGTTCTACAATATGCGGTCATGTGAATGTCCCTCTGCTCAAACGTTTGGAGCTGAAATAGAATTTTAACGCCAGCTCTGCGTCGACTGACTACAATTAGGTGAGGACGTTGATGCAACGGAGCTCCAGACCGGTTAAAGGCGGATTTACCTGGCGGGGTAGCTCCTGCGGACTGGGGTCCCGGCGCTGACGTGCTCCCGGTGCAGCAAGAATCCGACCGTTACTGAGCCTCCCACCAGCGACAAGATCCCGGCATTGCGTTTGGAAAGTAGGACCCTGGAGAAGCTGCTCGCCATATTTAATTTCCTTGCGTGTTATTTTAATAAAATTATGTTAAAATAATAAATCAGAGTTTGTATTTTCAACTGTCGCAGGCAGGTACAGGAAGACCGGGGCAGGTGGATGAGAGCGTCTGTGATGAACAGCCTCTGATGGAATGATGGGAACCAGGGCAGAGTCAATTGTAAGACAGTAAGATAGGGCGACGTCGGATATTGATTTGGCCTTCAAAATAAGAGCACACACTTAAACCGCTGCATCAGGGATAAACTTAATGAATTTGGGACAAATTATCTTACGATTTTCAGTTTGTCTTTAGGCCTGATTGGATGTAAAGTAAATTTAATGATGCTTAAATAAGAGTATGACTATTTACATTAACTTCAACAGATATATCCCTTTTGAAAGTTCACATAGGTAGTAAGATTTGCCTAAAATGTTACTATATTGAAATTATTACAGTAGCCCAGAGTACACAAACTAAATACTATAATAGATAGATATGTTATTCCTCAACTGTGGGATAATGTAAAAAACATGTTGATCCAAAGTATTTGCTTTAATCTACAAAATTCATCACAGCTTCTTTTACATCATTACATGTGTTTAATGCTTGTGTTTATAGGTCTGGTAGGACTTCAGAGAAAAGTCAAAAGAGGCTAGAGGTTGTGTTCCTTCTTTTCTACCCAACACTGAAATTATGAGTTAATCTGACAGAACCATCAAGATCAGTCATGTATCATCTGTCTGGCAGTGATATAAGAAGCTGCATGTGATGATAAATTAATCTACGGTAAGTTAGCAGCACGGTGTGTTACATAATTTATTGCCCTTTCAGTTATACAGTGGTAGCAGGGTCAGAGTACATTGTGCATCAATGAGTGAGATAAATAATACTTATATTACAACCACTGCTTTCATATGCCTCACAAGCTTCAAATGTAAAACACTTGACACTGTGATTTTAGTCACAGCGTTTCAAGGAAAATTAAACAATATCAACAGTAACATTTCAACTTTTTTTTTCTACAGTGAATATTAGAGGAAATACAAACAGAAGTTAAAAATTGAAACTGTATTTGAATGTATTTGAAAAATAATTTAAGTTAATTTGTCTTTGTTGTGTGATCTACACAGAATGGAGCTCCACAATCACTTTATTATAAAATTGTTTTTCCTTCAAGTTGCATATAGTATCCAGCTTGACAGTGTGTGTGCTGTGAATACTGAAGGACATGAGTAAAAAGGTCTGCAGCAGTGAGAGGCCTCAGATCTCAGCAGCAGGGTCTTTCCTCCTCACTCCTAAGGTCCACAACACTTTCATTCATGCGTCATTTCTTCGTGTAAACAGTTAACAGTTGAAAGTCATTTCGGCACACACACCTATCACAAGGTTATTGGAGTCATTCTTATTCCCACTGTTAAACCTGCCTCCACTTCCTCATTCTGGTGCGTCACAGTTGACTCCCCTTTAAAGGAAAATAGGTTCTTTTTACCCAGTGACCAGTGAGATTTAAAAATCAAAAATATATAAATCAAGTCAATATACAAAGAAAATGAAGCATTATTGCATTGTTCCAATTTGATTTGGCTGAAATATTCATTTTGAAGTTAAAATCCTATCAATCGCTGCACTTAAATGTTTTCTGATGTGATCATTTATACTGACATCTATTCATGTTCTCAGCACTAACAACAGTGGGTTAACGATTGTGATTTCCAGTTTATTACGCGTCCCCTGCAGCCAGACACAGACTGCGCTGTTCTATATTTAATTACTGAGCTCCTTATGGAGGATAACTCATTAATCAGTGGATTAGAGGAAATAGTGCCCTGAACATCTGATCAAAGTTCATGCCCTGCAAGGAAGCAAAAAAGATTGTGATAAGAAGGATATGAAAATCTGGATCGTGGATATAAAAGCACAAACAATGGATAATTCATATAAGCAACACATTGAATCAGGAAAACTTGTCTTGACTTGTTTCTTTAAATGTACACACAACAGAATGAAAATGTTCTTTTTCTGTTCATTCTTCGCCACTTTTACACCTCTCCAGACCAAACACTTCATTCTTGGCCACTTTTACACCTCTCCAGACCAAACATCTTATTCTATATGACTGCCTAAAGGATAACTTCTTTTCAGAGGAAAACCAGAGTAAAACTCACATGCAAAAAGACTACGTGAGGTGTGTCAGTTCGTCAGACTTGAGAGCAAACAAATACCACCTGATGCTAATCTGTTTCACAATATTCCAAGTAACGAGCCCACACTTGGCTCACATTTGTTCAACAGATGCGAGGGCCTGTGTATCGTTGGTGACCTTTGGACACGTGAATAACTCCAGACCGAAAGTGTCCGTTTTGCCAGTTTTGCAGGATAAATATTTATAGAACACTAACTGAAATACTGCAAATACAAAGATTAGAAAAAATATATTTATTTACAACAGATAACATGTTCACATTAATAGATACATCCTTTGACTTAAAACCAACTTTATGTCAAAACAACCAAATAAATAGACATTAATAATACTTTGGTCCTACTCTGATCAGAACAAGGAGGAATAGACATTGGACAGTCAGCTGTGATGCACAACATGACTGTTTTCTTGGGTACTTCAGAAAGGCTCATGTAGAACATCTGATACACTTGAAATAGAAGAAATCATTTACGCAGTCAAAGCTGTAATCTCAAGTATAAGGCTGTGGTTCGAACACATAGCTGTCCCATTATCTTAAAAGTACATCAAATCTTACATCTGACAAAATCATGATGAAAACAGAATCCAGAGGAGAAAATGTCAGGGTCAGAGTGTCGGTGTAGGAGACAGAGAGGGACACTCATTCATCCAAGTCTTTTCATGTGATGCTCAAAAGAAGTGCTTCACATCAAGGACCAACATAACAGAGAAAGACTGGACTTCAGAATGGACTTTGTGGTAAATCACAGTTTTGTTTTCCTTACCCATGGAATTACACAGTAGTTCAGTGAAGGAGTCTCTTTCTGCTGTAGTTCCTTCCTGTGCTTGAGCGTCTGAATGGCTCACTGAACGGTGAAACATTCAAGCCATCCACGTTTATCGTCTTACCTGACGTAGCTTCATCTAAAGGTTGGTGGAAAAAAAAAATGGTTTGCTGAGGGGTAATATATGTGTCATTTCCCAATTTTGATATTTAATTGAAAGACCACACACGCAAGGTGAGGTCTAATGTTGTTTGCCATCTAAGTACAAAGGAACAAATATTTATATCAATGTTCAGTCATGCTTGCCTTGTGCAGGCAATGAGGCATTAATGGTGCGTGCACAACAATGCAGGTCAAAAGCAGCAAACCATGTCAAATCTTGTAAATAGCTTAAAAAAAATAAAACAATTGACTTGAAATACCTTTGATGTTTGATGTTCTCTTACGGGCAGAACTTGGTTTTCCTTTGAACAACAACGGAGAGCTGGTGAGAGCCAAAATCCCACTTGCTGACACTGGTTTTGTTCCCTTTGTGCTCGGAGTGGTTGCTACTGGGAAAAATGAAGAAAAAAGATGATGTAACTTAAGTATAAATTATGCATATGTATAAAACATGTCTGTTATAAACAGATTTCAAAAGTAATATTATATACAAATAGTTTAAACCATAATTATATAATCGGGATGTGCAAATAAAAAGAATAATGTATACAGGAAATTCTCAAATGTGGGAATGTGCCGTGTTGTTAAAATACTCAAAAATTCAGGTAGAAGACCTGAACAAATGCAGCTACATATGCTGCAGGAACACAATGTTTATGTTAATAATCTGGAGTCACAGAATTTCATATTCAACGTACTTCTAAACATTAATAAATCAAGTATTTGCACGAAGTGTGATTCAAACCAATCCTTTTGTGTAGAAAAAACAAACAAAAATGAAATTCTTACTAATTGTGCAGAATAGGAAACCCATGACCTACCCTGAAGTGTGATTCAAACCAATCCTTTTATGCAGAATAGGAAACCCATGACCTACCCAACTTAATGTCCTCTGTGGCCCAGTTCATGTCTTCTTCAACTCTCTGGAGTTCATTACTGTTGGGATGCCGGGCCAACTTCACCACCCAGTCTCCCATAGAAGAAACAGGAGATCCATCTGCAGCAGCTAATACTGGAGCTTTGTTGCTTGTGAGTTCATCATTGTCCTCACTGTCTATTAACCTGCTAACACCAAGCTCTGCCTCCTCTAACAATTCCTCTAATTGTGAATCTCCCTTCAGGACTCGATCTCTGCTTCCAACCCCTCCAACACGAGCTCTCTTTTTGCGAGGCCAGCTGTTCAGATTATCGGGAGTCACTTTCCCTGCACTTTGAGGTGATGGAGTCAGAGGGATTATGTCAGCAGTTGCCACTGGAGACACTGTTCCTCCATGGCGAGTGGGGGTGTAGGACTGGCAAATGTATGTTTGGACACTTCCACCTTTTCCTGGAGTGCCTTTGGCTGGTGTGGCATGAGCACAGATAGAAGGTGAGACACAGACAGGATCTCTGTGTTTTGAGAGGAACACCAGAGGACTTTCCCGCTGAGAAGATTTTGCATTAACTGAAGGACTGTGGGTACCTCCATCTGAGGCCAACTCTCCTGCATTCATAGAATCTGCACGCTTGATTTTCAGCTTGGGAAGCCCTGCCTTTCGCATTTCCAACTCCACCTGGTAACTCATAGGACTTGCAGTACCTGTGTCCTTCCTTTTACAACGTTGTGCAGGGCCTCTAGGGGATGAAAATCGAGGTGAATCGCTTCCGTATCCCAAGCGAGCAGCAGCCTCCCTCTGTTGGCGGTCAGGGGTCTGTCGGAAGCCATAATTTCGCCCAGGTGTACCATGGGTTCCCAAGAGATGTTTAGGAGAGGCCGTGTTCAGAAGTAAGTCTTCGCCAGACTTTGAAGACTTCCGCGAAAAGCTAATGTTCATCTTGAGCCCACCACTAAACTGGGTTTTTACAACTTCTGCGTCAACGATGTCTATACTTTCATCATCAGTGGTCACAGAGCTAAAGTGTGAAGAGTCACATAGTTGAGAACTGGAGTCAGTTTCAGATGAATGAGACAATTCAGGTTGTTCTCTTTCTATCGTCTTCGTTCGTTTCAGGTCTGTTCTATGAAGGCCACAAGTTTCAGCATCATCATTTTTCAGTAC